CCCCCCCATCAGAATACAAATGTGGGCGGGGCTAGAATGAACAGGTAAACACAGGGGGTGGTAACTTCAGACTGGTAAAACATTCTGCAAGCAATATGGTGAGAATGACCTGCCGTGACATCATGTCTGTGTACAGAGATTTGAGCTGTGATGCAGAATTCAATGTAAGAAAAATTAATATAGGTCAAAGAATTTCTTAATGGACAACTAAAAGAAAATTCCCATTTAGCTGGTGTTTCTAAGACTGGCTAACCACTTAAAGTAAGAAAATAGGTTTAAAAATCATTCACAGAAATTTATGACTTTTTGGTAGAAAGTTGAGTTTTTAGTAATAGTAATTCTACAGGAGGGGTGATGCTTAAATGAAAAAGTTACTTAAGCTTATCAATATTTAATAACACAACTCATAAGTATATCTTAAATTTAAAAGTTATTTTTTTTTAAATTCAAGAACTATCATTTGTAGGTAAGCTCATGCTGTTTATTAATGTGTCAAGCCATACTATTGGGAGGGAGGAATCAAAGCCTAAGACCCCAGCCTGCTCAACCAAAGTGACGGAACCCTTTCGAGAAAAGCACGGTTTTCCAGAACTGTCTTTACATGTCTGGGGGGCGAAGACTAACGCAGAGCACACACAGGGAGCAAGGGTTACCTATTGTCACCGTGAGGTTAACCAGCACACACTCCTTGGTTCAAAAGCATGAACAAAATCAAGGAAAAACATTTACAACTAACTCCCCCGTTGTTAAGTGCCATCAAGTCAGTTCTGACTCACAGCGACCCTGAATAGGGTTTCTGAGGAGCAGCAGGTGGTTTTGAACTGTCAATTTTGTGCTCAGCAGTCGAGTGCCACACTAACTCCCATAATAAAGTTAAAATATTTTAAAAGTATCGTTGCTACCCATAGCGACCCTGTATAGAGTTTCCAAGGAGGAGCTGGTGAGCTTGAACAGCCCCAACTTATGGTTCAAACCAACTTTGCATTTCAGCACATTAAACCACGGCACCACAGCAGGACTCCTTTTAATCGTCAGTATCTATAAGACCATAAACTGATGTTTTTTAATGTGTCTGTCTCCACTTGGTTATTGTTAGGTGCCATCAAGTTGGTAATGCCTCACAGCAACCCCTATGCACAACAGAATGAAACACCACCCAGTCCTGGGCCAATCTGACAATTGTTGCCACGCTTGAGCCCACTGATGCCGCCACTTTGACAATCTATCTCGCTAGAAGTCTTCCTCTTTTTATCTGACCCTCCACCTTACCAAACATGACATCCTTCTCCAGTGACTGGTCCCTCCCAACAATATGTCCGAAATATGAGAGACGAAGTTTGGTCATCCTGGCCTCCAAGGAGCACTCTGGCTGCACTTCTTCCAACGTAGATCTGTTTGTTCTTTTGGCAGCCATGGCACTTTCAATATTCTCCTCCAACACCATAACTCAAATGCACCAATTTTTCTATGGTCTTCCTTATTTAAAGCACATTTAAACATTTTTATATTTTTTCAATTACTGCCTATAGAGCTTATTTCTAAATTTAGCATTGAGATTTTAAAAGCTAATAGTAGTCATAATCTGATACATGTTATATTTCAGATTTAAATCATGTATTTCTAAGTATTTGGATATTTCCACAGCAAATCATATTAAACAACTAACTTGGTGATTATGTGCTGTGGAGTCGGTTCCGACTCATAGCAACCCTGTTTCTGAGGCTGTAAATCTTTATGGGAGCTGAAAGCCTCATCTTTCTCCTGCGGAACAGCTGTAGTTTTGAACTGCTGACCTTAAGGTTCACAACCCAATTCATAACCACTACACTACAAAAACTAACTTGGCAGTTGTGTGCTGCGGAGTTGGTTCCCACTCACAGTGACCCTGTAGAGGGTTTCCGAGGCTGGAAATCTTTACAGGAGCAGAAAGTCTCAACTTTCTCCCACAGAACAGTTGACAGCCCGATTTGTATAACCAATATGCTACCGGAAGGATATTTTGTATGCCTTAAAACAAAATTCCTTTCTACCACCAGTCACCACTTCTACCTTTAAGGTAAATTTTGTTCTAAAGCAGTCTTTCTCAACTGGGAGCTTTTGCTCCACATCCCAAAAGACATTAGGCAAAGTTGGGAGACATTTTTTTGTTGATACACTCCAGGGGGTAGTGGGTGGAGGGTGGGGGAGCTGCATCTAGTGGGCAGAGTCAGATGGTGCTAAACGTCCTACAACTAACTATACAGGGCAGCCTCCCCAAACAAAGAACTGTCTGGTCAACAATATGAACAAAGTCACTTGGAAAAAATCCTGTTCCAAACTGAAACAGGAATATTTGCAAATACAGCTGACAACTTCAAAAAAGGAATGCTAAGTAAATAATTTTAAGTTCACCAAGCCTTGTTATTGATAGAGTCCCAGACCTGTTAAGAGTCAGACTGCTTTCCAAACTATTAAAATACATTAAAAACTGTGGTTGTCTATTAATCACGGAGGGAGGAGGTTGCAGAAGATAGGAAAGAATGGCAGAGTGTTTTCCGCTACCTAAACAGTAGCTCTGGTAGCATACTGGTTACAAATCGGGCTGCGAACCTTAAGGTCAGCGGTTCGAAACTACCAGCTGCTCCGCGGGAGAAAGATGAGGCTTTCTACTCCCGTAAAGATTTACACCCTCGGAAACCCTGTATAGGGACGCTATGGGTCGGAACCGACCCGACGGCACTTAACAACAAACAGTTAGAAGGAGTCCTGGTGTGGTGCTGTGGGTTAATGCGCCAGACTGCAAAGCCGGTTGAACTGCACGGTAGGTGGTTCAAGCTCACTAGCTGCTCTTCGGAAACCCTATACTGGGGTCACTATGGGTTGGAACTGACTCGATGGGACTTCCCAACAACAACAACAACCGTTACATAGGAGCTCTGGTAGAGTACTGGTTATGAATTGGGCTGAGAACTGCAAGGTCAGGAGTTCGAAACTACCAGCTGCTCCCGTAAAGATTTACAGCCTCGGAAACCCTGTGCAGGGTCGCTATGAGTCGGAATCGACTCGTCGGTACATAATCACCACCACCACCAAACAGTTACAAGATATACTTCCTTTAAAAAGAAAGAACATCTTAGGAGGCCAGAGTCTTAAGAAGGCACTTAAATTCTTGAGTTTTCCCTAATGCTTTATTAAAGCTTTCAAGGATAAACACTAATTAATGGCTCATTCTTGTTGTTTTTAAGGAGCTCTGGTAGCATAGTGGTTACGAGTCGGGCTGCTAACCTCAAGGTCAGCAGTTCGAAACTACCAGCCGTTTACCGGGAGAAAGATGAGGCTTCTGCTCCGGTAAAGATTTGCAGCCTTGGAAACCCTGTGTAGGGTCACTATGAGTCAGAACCGACTCCACGGTACTTAACAACATCAACAACTTGTTGCTTTTAGTTCTAACCAGCATTTTATTTTATTTGCTCCCTAAGTCATTAGACTTTTAAAGAGGGAAAGCTTAGCTAGTGAAGGGAAGTTAAGCACACGTATTTCTCAAGAATCTGTTAGAATTCTGATGTTTACCTGGCAAGAGGACGGGCTCCAGTTTTTTAATCTTCGGTTCTGAGTTAATCTTATCGTCAATCTGAAACACATGAACAAAATAAAGTTTTTGTTTTCCCTACGTTCAGCAATATAGCAAAGTTTTACCTTTTTTAAGTGATAATGACACATGTCAGATCCATACTTTTACCCCAACCCTGCCTTACTTTCTTTCACATATACCGATTTCTTTTTAACAACTGTTCATCACTGACTTACAGCCTATGAGTAAAATGTTGTAAGTGCAGTGCCCATTCCCGGTGCTCGCACTTGGGGGCAGGCGGGGGTAAGGGCTGGCAATCACAGCTAGCCCAGCTCCGACATGGTCACGTGTCCACACTCAGGGTGCTGACCAGGGCTTCCCGCTGAGAATGGTTCTCACCGAGGTTTACGACCTCACCGCGCCAGCCTGTGGCTCGGGTACCCGCGCGGAGCCCCCGTTTCCCGGGGCGCTTCCCAGCAGGGCCCACCTGCAGGCTCCCCGGAAGCTCCGAGGGTTGTTTACCTGGGATGGCGGCAGGAGGTAGGACCTGAAGGTGGGTCTGGGCGGCTTAAGGGAGAACATGGTGCCGCTGTCTTTTCGCCCGGGCCCCGGTGCAGCCTGGGATCCGCCGCGTACCCGCGGCAGCGCTGACGCCTCCCACCACCTCAGCTCCCAGTGTGGCTGCTCAGGCCCGGACTCGGGCCGTACTGGCCCGGGCGGGCGGGCACTCCACTGAGCGCCCGCCCCCGCGGGGAGGAGCCGGGGCCCATCCCCTGACGGGTCTAGCGCCCCGCCCCAAGGGACGGCGTAAGCCGGGGCCGCGTCGGGTACTCGGGACCTCTAGATCGCCCTGGTGCGGGAATGCAGGACTTTCGCTATACGCCTGATGCGCCCGACGCCAGGGCTTCACCTAAGCCTCCCGGGGGCGTGGAAACCGGTGGCCATCTTGAGAACGCGACTAGAGGAGGGCGTTCCTACGGCGGCCGGCGGAGGTCATAGTAGCCCACAAGGACCTACGGCGGCCCGCAGAGGTCATGGTGGCCCGCAGGAATTGCAGAGACTGAGAGAGGGGGACTGCGACTGTAGTGTGGAGAACCCTCCTTTCTTTAGTTCTTTGGCTTGGGGGGATCTTTCATTTTTCTAGAGTACAGGTCAGGGTGGGGGGAAAGGGCTCCGATTCCCCGGCACGGTGGGTGTGGGGCCGTCGTGGGAGTCCGTTGCAGCTAACAGTGTCCAGGATCAAACGTTCAGCATGGACTCATCCTGCGCAGACCCTGTCTCATAAAGTCCCGTTAGCATTTCTCCAATTGAAAGAACTGAAGAAAAAAATGCAAGCCTTGATTTACAATATTGAAGTCTTCTAGAGCTCTGGTAGTGTCGTGGTTACGAATCAGGCTGCGAACCGCAAAGTCAGCAGTTCAAAACTACCCGCCGTTCTGCGGGAGAAAGATGAGGCTTTCCGTTCCCTTAAAGATTTACAGCCTACGAAACCCTGTGCAGGGTCACTATGAGTCGGAACCCACTCCACGGCACATAACTACAACCACCACCATGGACAAAATATTGAATGATGTAGAAAGCATCAAAAGAAGATGAAAGGAATACACAGAGTCACTGAACCAATGTTCAATGATTTCAAGAGTCAAGAATTGATGGTAATAAGGAAAGAGGCCCAAGCTGCACTGAAGTCATTGGCGGAAAAACAAGAATCTGGGAATTGATGGAATTCAAATAGAAATCTTTAAACAAACTGACATAGGGCTGGGGCACTCACTCATCTATGCCAAGAAATTTCAAAGACAGCTATCTGATCAACTGATTGGAAGAGATCTATTTGTCCCCATTCCAAACAGAGGGAATGCGGAAATCATCACACACTATTGTTACTATCATGTGCAAGTAAAGTTTTACTCAAGATAATTTAAAAAGGGCCTTAGAGAAAGGTACAACCAGGAGGGAAAAAGAATAAAGACAGGCTGAAAGAACAGACGGACAATTCTCTTGAAAAAAGCAAAGCTCTTGTAAGAAACTGGCAGCAGGAAATGAACCAGACAGCTCAAGAGTTGTTTTTTTAGTGAACAGTGGGAATTACTGTGTCCCTTCAAGCTTGAGAACCCTGAGAGATACAGAGGTCCACAAGCCACAACCTTCACACAGGGGGCAGGCACTGTAATCATTTATTTGGTCAGGTTGTTAACCTAATATGGCACTTCAGAGCCAGACCTGAGTCTTGAAGCAGGGTCTTGGACATGATACACATATGGGAGACATGAACACCCAACCAGAGGAATGAAGAGCCAGGAAGCAACATTTAAAGCCACCAGGTGTTGTCAGTAAGTCCAGGAACCAGCTAGGATTACCTTTGCATATGCTCCTGTTTATAAGACCTTTAAAACCCCCAGAGGCTGTGAGCTTGGAGAGCTACTGCTGTCTGTTACATGTCTCCCGTGAAAGTTCTCTTTCTTGACTAAACCTTTGTCATTTCACTTCAGGACTTTGTAGTCTTTTGTAGCCCACTCTGGTAACAATGGCTTCAACAGTATATGGACAGAGAACTGTCAGAAACTCAAGCTGGATTCAGAAAGGGATGTGGAACTGGGATATTATTGTTGATATTAGGTGGATCTTGGATGAAAACAAAGAATACCAGAAAGATGTTTACTTGTGCTTTATTGACTCTGCAAAGGCTTTTGACTGTGAATCATAACAAGCTATGAATAACATTGAAAAGAATGGGTATTCCAGAGCATTTGATTGTGCTCATGAGGAACCTGTACTTAGACTAAGAGACAATTGTTTGACCAGAACGAGGAGATACTGAATGGTTTAGAATCAGGAAAGATGTGTACCAGGGCTGTATTATTTCACTATACTTATTCCATCTGTATGCTGAGCAAATAATCCAAGAAACCCGATTATATGAAGAACATGGTATCAGGATTGGAGGAAGAGTCATTAACTACCTGCCGTATGCAGATGCTACAAGGTTGCTTGCTGAAAGTGAAGAAGACTTAAAATACTTACGATGAAGATCGAAGACCATAGCTTTCAGCATGGGTTGCACTTCAATGTAAGAAAACAAAAATCCTCACCACTGGACCAATAAATAATCTTATGATTAATGAAGAAAAGATTGAAGTTGTCAAAAACTTCAATGTTGCTTGGATTCACAATCAACATTCATGGAAGCAGCAGTGAAGAAGTCAAATGATGTATTGACAGTAGACAAATGTACTGCACAAGATCTCTTTAAAGTGTTGAAGAGCAAAGATACCAGTTTGAGGACTAAGGTGTACCTGACCCAAGCCATGATATTTTTATGTGATCTATGGTTGTGAGAACTATGGACATTTAACACTGATTTCTTATTTTTATTTCATTAATTTCTACCCTACTAAAACAGTGACATATTATGTTGCCTTTTTTTCCTGCCTACCTTCACATATAAAATTTTTAGTCACTTTGTAGAATAAGCATTGGACTGCTAATCACAGGGTCAGTGGTTCAAACTCACCAGGTGCTCCTTGGAAACCATATACAGGGTCACTATGAGCCAGAACTGACTTGCAGGCACTTAACAAATGTACAAGTAAATGATTAAAACCACAGCAAGAGTAAATTCCTGGTGGTGTAGAGAGTTTCATTGGGCTATAAACTAAATAATTAATTGCAAAGCAAGGCAAGTTTCAGCATACCAAGCATAGGACATTTCTGAACTCTTATCATATTTCTGAACTTAGAACAACCTTTGGTGGAAGAGTTAGGGATGTTACATTTTGGGGATACTCTTAGTTAAGACTACACTCTTCTTATGCTTTGAAGACAAAAGCCCCAATTTTATTCTCACAGGTGGTAGTGTGCCATGGAGTCGGTTCTGACTCATAGTGACCCTGTACAGGGTTCCCAAGGCTATAAATCTTTACAGGAACAGAAAGCCTCATCTTTCTCCCACAGAATAGCTGGTAGTTTTGAACTGCTGGCCTTGAGGTTAGCAGCCCGACTCATAACCACTAAGCTACCAGAACTGCCCTCAGAAGCTCCGATATTGTTGTCTTATGAATCACAGTCATACTGATAATTGTTGCTAATGGAAGCATTTTTTTTTTTTTTTTAATTACAGATTCAGAAAGTTGCTGTTGTTCTGAAATTATCCTGAATTCAAAACCCTACTGATGTTTCTGGTTAACCTATTTGAGTTTTAACA